ATTAGTATCAGCTTAATGAAACTTTCGCCTGCATAACTAGTCCTTTACTATATGATAAATTTATAGCTCTATTTGAATAAAATTATCTTTGAAAATATCTGCATATCACATCATGCCATTCACTTCCATGCCTTTACAAGGTACTTCTTTCTAGATTGGATAGAATTACATCTCCAACTTGTTAAGTCCTGATAGTGTTTATTATTGTTGGTATTATTCTATGACTATAAACACTGACTTTGCTGTCATTTCACTGCAGATACAGTTTCCCCTACTGCACACATATCTGTTCCATCACCTTTCACAAATGCTTTAAATGTATCAGTAAATGTTACTTTCAGTGAACCTTGCACTGGTGGAGGTGGATTTAGGTGTTCCTCCAGTAATTGCAATGTAAGGATGCAGAAAACTTCAAATTTGTTGTTTAAAGCCTACATATCCCTTTCAGGTTCACTAAATAACAACTGTTGTTCTTTTTTGCCTCACATGGATGAGAATCTATTGCTTTTGTATTCCCCTGCTGTCCTTTTATACATAATCTTGGTATCACCTATCCAGCATCATGTTTATCTGAATTATTTGTGTCCAAATTCCTATAGTTGATACTTTCACTCTGTAGCTTAAATTAAAATCTTGTTTACCATATATTCCCAAGTATTAGGCTTTTAGCTTTGTGATTCTACATTCATCTCTTGTTTTCTCCTTTTTCTTCCATTTTGCTTAAATGTGTACAGTTTACTTTCATCTCTTGGTTTTCCTTATTTCTTTATTTTTTTCATAAGTATCAATTTCCTAACTGCCACTCTTTTCCATAGCTTCTCGTTTATGGAGCTGGTCATGTTTTACCATCTACTCTCAAGGTTCTTCTTCCTGACCGAGAGTTTTCCCTTATGGTCGGTATATCGGCTGATGTTCAGTTTGGTCGATTGGTACTGGTAATGGATAAGGGCTTTTGTACAGACAATGCTGGAAACACTTTCAAACGAACATCAAATTCAAGTTTCATATTGCATTTTGGTATGCTATCTGCTTTATGTAATTGTTTTTTTTAATCAGGGCTCCAACTAGTTGCATTAAGCAAGGTTGTTTGGCTTCATTTTTAATGGATCACAAATCACACTAGGTTCTGTACTATGGCCTAAAATAAAATCCCACTTGTGAATTTTGCATTCACTTTGATTTCTTGTATGCTATGAGGTGCAAATGTAAAATTCTTTTACATAACTAACTCCACTAAGTATTAAGCCAAATCAAGAATTATTAGCCTTATAGAAATAGGATGTTTTTCTTTTTTTTTCTTGCAAAGGTAAGTGAAGAAAGCGGGATTCGAGCCCGGGACCTTATGATAAACTGTCAAAATCTTTACTAGCCAAACTAGCTAACACATTTAAATGGGATATGATGTATAGTTGTTCTACATGTTTAGTTCCTGAATAATTAAAGTGTCAAGCTGTATCAAAATTCTTTTTAACATTTCAAGCTTTTTAAGACTAAATGAGTGGTGTTAATATGTCCATTGGTGCTAATGTTCAAGCTGTAGTTTACATGATTAGCTTTTAATCAATGTTTAGTAAATGCAATCTTTTCGAAGCATAAACCTAAACTCTTTACATTTTGTATATGGCACTGCTTTTTCACCTATCCTATCTTGCCATATATAACTTGCAGATAGGAGAAGTGTCTTCATGAACATGACAACTCACATCACACAAAGGTTACTTCAACTTAATGGCGAGATCAGAACAGCAGAGGCTACTAACACTGCGAAGGACTTGAGAATTTATTTATCTTTCTCAGAACCAGTTCTAAATTCATCCGAAGAAATTCTAGGTCTTCTTCATGCAAGTAGTGGTTTACTTGTTCCGACAAATAGAAATAACCTTGGAAACCGCCGCTTTGGCTATATAGTAAGTTCTTAATATTCACACCACTTTCTAATATCAAGTACCTGAATTTCTTCAAAATTAATGCCACAGCTAATTGTTTCTTTTAGGTGCATAATATTTCAAGCATGACTGTTGTTACTATAACTTGTGATGCTAACAAAATAATCAGCAGACAAGGGACTCCAATTTCTCTATCAGATCCAATCACATTCCTCTATGGTATTTTCTTCTCTTACACAACTATTAAATATTATTTCCAAAATTTGGGACTTTGGCAATTTCAGCATGAAAGCTAGGAAAAAAAATGTATATCGTATAAGATCTTTGAATCAAAATTCAACACTAGAAGGCAAAAGGATGGGAGAAACTCCTAGAAGTTGTGATTAACATTTTTGCTTGAAGTGTAATCTATGCAGATCCTATGACAGAAAAGACAGTCTGTTGATACTTCAATAGCTTATTATAAGTTACACAAAATAGTACATGAAACTAAATCTCCTAGATGTACTTATGCACCCAAACAGATATTTTGCAATATTGCATCCACCTTTTAACTCAATGGATTTGTTTTTCATGATGATGAAATGTAGGTGTAAAACATTGGGAAACTGAAGTTATTGATGTAAATTTTCATGGAAATATCACTAAGTTATGCAAAACCAGAGATGATCACAGAGATAGAGGAGGAAGAAAACCATGAAAACACAAACTTACATCATTGGGCTTATAACATAAGTCTAGAGCAAGAGAGAATTTCCACTGTATATGCATAAATGTTACAGCCGACCTCACCCTCTGTTAACCAAAAACCCAAGAACCGAGCAATTTATGTGAAACCACACAATTCTGATACAAGAAGAACAACCTTGATTTGTAGAAAGTTAACCTGGCCTGAATCCACCTACTTGCAGGAATGTGAAAACCATCAGATGTGATTTTCCTTTATGAGTCCAAAGCCATATGGAACTTGACAATGTTCAGCCATGGTAAAACCGTAGAAGTCCAACATCTTTTCATGTATAGAATCCACGAGCTCATATTTAGTTGCATCACACATTCAACTTCCACCGACTGCCATTTACTCCGACACAGTATCCAGCATTTCTTCTTAATCTGACCAGATTCCACAATTTATAAAGTCTCAATCATATATAATAGGTTCGCTGCCACTCGCCAAACCAATTATCCAAGTTCATGGAAATTGGATCCACTGAAATGACTGATCATGTATGGATTTCAACTCAACAAACACCAAACAGTAAGACAACTTTAATTGTCCAAATGCCAACCTTAATAAAATATAAGCTTGATTTGGAATAGGAGAAAATCAAAACATCTAATATCAGTATGGCTATCACAACATTTTCAAAAAGTTTTGTAAACATATTTTACTCAAATGAATTTGAATATTTCTGAGTTTCTATGCAGAAATGAGTTATTTTGGCCATCATTATCTAATAAATGATATTTGGTACTGAAAAAATAGATAATCAAAGGCCTTCTGTACGTCTGAGTACAACTTTTCACATGAGGACGAAACATAAAATACCGGTGCTGATAAAGTTTATGAAGCCTGTTTTTGACTTCAATTCTTCTGCTATACTTATTTCTGGAGGATCTATGCAGAGGTATGATGTCCAGTTCTAATTAGTCTACATACTTTGAAAAAATCATCATTCTATGCTTTATCACATAATTTGGTTTATTAGTCCAAACTGCTGATACCTTCCTTTTGGCTTTGTGATAGCTTTCATGAAGTAGCAAAGAGCACATATGTGATTGAAGTCAATGCCAATAGTAGTCTCATATCTGTGGAAGTTCCTGAAAATAAGACGACAGACATTGCTGGAAACAAGAACCTACCATCGAATATTCTACGAGTGAAGAACTGTGAGGCTTTCTGTTTTCCTACATCTAAAATTTCTCTCATCTACCAGACTAAATCGTTTACTATCTCATATCTATTGATGATTTTTCCCAATTTGACTTCAATGTATTATAGATCTTCGACAAGTTTTGGCTGTTTAGCTGAAATTTTTAATCAGTATTAGCACCAAAGCTTAGTGCTAACTTATCAGATTCTATGAAATATATGGAAGGCCTAGAAATACATATTGGGACATTAGTGCTTGTTATTGCTATTTCTCAGTTTAGAAACCTTGACTATGCTTTACATGTTGCACTACAATCTTTCCTAGCAATGAGAGCAACTATATTTTACGGGAACTAATTCTCTCTTCTTGGTTATTCTTAATATGTATAGACGTATGTATATATAATTATATAAAAAAATTTGACTGGTGAAAGAATTGGTCCTAAGCAACTTCCTTGGAGATCCTGTATGCCTTTCACAATGTGATATTCTGCCTCTGCACTAATTTGACATTTCTTTTCAATTTGGACATCCAAATATGATCATCTGAATAGCTAATAATTGTCTTTCTTTCTATTTATACTTTATTCTCTTGGTATAGCCCACATCTAAAATCTTTTTATTATTTGCTACAGATTCCAGACCTACAATATCGTCATTAGTTTCCATAGTTGCTACTGTTGCACTTGCAATGACGTCAGTGGTTGCAGCACTGCTAACTGTTTCAACCTCAAGCCTTCTATCCTCTGGAACAATTTCTAGACAGAAATCACATCTTGTTTCTGAACCATCAAGGAATCTTGTGGTATAGTATTGAAGCTATATTGTAACTCAGAATTTACTAGATTTTTAAGTTGCGTGTTTGTTTTGATGTCATTTCCAGTCACATAAGAAGCTAGACCACAATTTCTGATCTCCTAAGCAGATCTTTTATGTTCATATTAGTTCCTTTTTCTATCCTGTAAAAACAATAAGAAAAATGCTATTAATGGTCAAACAAGTAGTTATAAGTATCATGCTTATATGATGAGGGATGTTGAATAGATTCTAACCTGTTCTACGTACATAAGGTAAATATTTTGCTCATTTTAAATTGGAGACGCTTTAGACCATCATGGAGTTCTGCATGGTCATAGTTTCTATAGTTGTGCATGAAATCATGAATGACAATGCTCATGATCCTTATGAAGTTATCTAAAACATGTGTGAATGAAAAAAGATGCCTTTGCAGTTCCCTTTTCTTGGAGGGAACACCCACTTCCTTTATGCTTGCATTGATTCTATCTTCATGAATGATATTGACTGTTTGTCTTCCATTTTCTACAGAGAATTTTGTGCCACATCCAGGTCTTTGCACTCTGTAGGTGGTTGGTGGTCACCATGCCCATTGAATATTATGAATTTTCTAGGGGTATTGAATGGACTATTCCATACATTCGTCTTCCATGGGAAACAGGCTCCAATTCAACTTTTGAAGATTCAACATTGACATTTGAGACTTATTCTGAATTATGGGAAACGAGCAAGCTGACAGCTTTCAAGTCCTCGTTAGTGACAAACCAAATACCAGAATTGAACCCTTTTGAACATGGAAAGCCACTTACCCCAGGGGAATACATGTTATTTCTTGAGGTAAGAATTTCCTGTCTTCACATATCTTCTTTGATGCCCTTCATAACCATTGTGTTCTCATTAGACAGATGTTGACTTGTATACTTGCAGAATCAGAACATGAAACCTGAAGCTGAATTTATTATGATTTCACGGAATTCAGATAGGTAGGTCAAATTGAGGTAACGAACATTTTATACTTCCCTTTTCCTGCTTGAGTCAAGACAACATTAAACAAATCACCTAAACCTTCACAAAATCACTTTAAAGTTATAAGAATATGTCATAGATTATATTTTACTAAATATGTAACCATACAAAACTCGATCCTTATTGAGACCTCAAACTGATTCCATTACAGTAGGTGGAAGTATTTTGGTAGAAACATGTTCTGGTTAGCAGTACTTGGTGGTGGATTGATCTTTCTCCATGTGGCAATTCTTTGCATTTTGAAATTGAGGAAGAAGAATCCGGAAAAGCAAAAAGAGTTTGGAGCCCTTGTATTCCCAAGGTTCGAGATATTTTTGTTATTGCTTGCATTGCCATGTATATGCCAGGCATCTGCGGCAATAATTAAAGGTAACAACAGCCTAACATAATATTTTTCCTCTTAATCATGCATAGTTAGATTGGTACTGAGATGTTCTTGTTTTCGATAAAGTAGCCAGTGAAAATTACCCAAAGATTGATTACATTTCTTGTCACATTCTAATGAAGTTCCACAATAACACTAGCCTTCAGCTGAAAAATTTAAGTGATTTTTTTTTTAAATTAAAATTACTAAGTGACTTTCTTCTTCTCTTGTTGAAACAGGGAGAACATCTGCTGGTGTAGTTATTGGAATTATACCCCTGGGCATCGCCACATCTTTCCTTATTTCTTTGTTATTGTTCCTCTCACTTGGCATCACAATGGGCAAGCTTCTGCAGTACAAAGAAGTTCATCAAGAAGGACAGGAGTTCCATTGGTACCAAGAGTTCGTTCGTGTAACTCTAGGTCCTGGTAAAAGAGGCCAATGGACATGGAAAGATAAACAAAACTCAGTTAATCTAACAAAACTAGGTCCACTATTCGAGGACCTCCGAGGGCCACCAAAGTACATGCTGACACAAATCGCTGGTGGCAGTAATCAAGCAAAACATGAAGACCAAATCATTGCTTCTGATGATGAAACTGAGGATGCAGAAGCTCCATTCATCCAGAAGCTCTTTGGCATCCTCAGAATTTACTATACACTTCTGGAATCGGTTAAACGGGTCTCTCTTGGAATTTTGGCTGGTGCTTACTCATCAAATAAGCTTTCTAGAATTCCTGTTCTGATTGTTTTGTCCATCACCTCTTTCCAAATCTTCTTCCTTGTCTTGAAAAAGCCCTTTATCAAAAAGAAGGTGCAGCTTGTGGAAATTATCTCAGTAGCTAGTGAAGTCGGTTTGTTTGGGGCTTGCCTTGCTCTACTGGAGAATCACTTTTCTGATGCAAATGAGAGGAAAATAGGGCTGTTTATGCTGGCAATGTTTATCATCATGTTAACTGCACAACTGGTCAATGAATGGTATGCATTATACCGACAAGTTATTCGACTAAGCCTAACTAGGGTTTCATTCTCTTCGGGCTTAAAGAGAGCTCTTGGTGGACTTGTCTTAATTGTGCGACCGACATGTCTGTCGACTGAACTGAGCGAGCAATTATCCTCCAGCCATGGAGAAGGAGATTCTGGATCTACAGTTTCTCCTGTCAGTCGAATCCAAAGAGCTTCCGACACGAGTGAAAGATCATGGCTGAGACAATTAAGAGAACTTGCAAGGGCTAGCTTCAGCAGAGAAGATGCAGGACCCCCTGTTGACCCTTCAAGCAGCACACGACAGAGAAGTGGGTTATGGAGTGGAAAGAGAAGTGGAAGCTCTTCTGTCACATCATCCGCTGACTTCAAGTCAAAGGGTGACCTCAAGGCAAAGTCAAGAGGGTTGTATAAGGATTTGGAGGCCATTTTCTCGGCCAAGTGATGTTACCAACAACGAGCATTCATGGTGACATGAGATTCAACCAGGTATTCTTGAGGGAGTGAGTTTAGAGCTCAAACAAATTCCTGCTGATGAAGAAGTACCATGATCCTGATCTGATGATCTTCAGAAGGCCAAAACACAACTAACTGAAGGGATCTTCAGAAACCTATAAAACCAAATGCAGTACTTTTTAGCTGATTCTTGTGTTCTAGTTATGCTTATCTGATCTAGGATCTTATTTTTTTTTGCAGCAGTGTAATCCATCATTTCGCTGCAGTTGTTTAAGATGTATAGAAAATGTTATTTCACTACGGGATCTGAGACATAATCTTGAATTCTTTGTTGAAACTTGTACTCATGCCCTACAAAGTAGATAATATGTAGTGCTAACCTCCAACATTAGCTTGTGTTTCATGCTTGAGAATGATGGTAACTTGTAATCGCAGAACAATTCAGTTTTGGGTCATGTACAAGTGCTATTCTCCAACATTAGCTTGTGATTTTGCTTGGGCATGATGGCTGATTGTAACCACAGACATCTTTGACAGTATTAATTCAATGTTGTGTCACTGATGATGACAAAATGGATCCCCTAAAAGGTAGATTCTGTACTACATTTAGCTCATGATGTTCCTGAAGGCCCTGCAACAAGAAGCAACTGGTTGATCTTGGGAGATTCGACTCTTCTAATTTTAGTACGAGTCTTGCTAATGGGAAGACACAGTGTTCAACAAAACACTAATAGAAGCAGTAAGGAAGGCCTACAGCTTTTTCCCTCTACTAGAGTTTCTGGTTTCAAGCAGAAACTGTTTGTGATCATCTTTACTGGTTTCAAACAGTAAAGCAGTAATCATCATTACTGTTTGTGATCGTTTTCACCATCTTTCAAGAATCACCTCCTACGTTGATGCTGTCACTGCACCGGCCTCCACTTTGTCGTCATGATGATAAACTCCGAGAACCTCCCTCTCCGACCCCTCAACTGAGGCATATGATCACCTTCGTCCTGCTGCGTGGCGAGGTTTCTCACATAGTTGTAAGGGAAGAAATTAGAGCTAAAAAAACTTATGACTACTAAGGATGTCGGAGAAGTCTACAAGGGAGGGATGATTGAGACGAGACCAACCAAGGAACAAGCTATAAACGCTAAATACGGCAACCGACAAACAAAGAAAGGAGGAGGAGGGCTTCTCACCGATAGATCTAGCGACAACAGGCACACGATGAAATAGAGGGGCTTCCGCCACCTCCATGAGCCCCGCCGTTACAAGTAAACAATTCAACACCTTCAAATTTACAACACGAGATTTCCACTTATAGTATGCAGGATGAGTTTGCCACCCTCAAATAAGCGGATCAGGTACGCGAAGAACACACATGCTGAAGGAAGAACCAGACTCGGACATCAGAATACTGGTGGCCTTCATCTGTATTAGCAGAGCATTGAGATTAGATAGCTGAAAAGAATTGCATTAATTGGAATCCTTCTGCAACACTCAATCATACGTTGTAGAGAATTGAGTTGAACTGTATGTAGGCAGACATGGAGGTATACAGACCCACTTTCAAGTGCATACAGAAATTGATAATAACATCATTATGTTCATAAAACAAAAATTGAAAAGAATGGACATCATCTCCGCATATCTGAATGGACATTATCTAAACAACAGTCAGAGGTTCAAGTCAAACAAAACCGTAACAGAAGTAAAATTGCCCCAGAACTCGCATTTAATTCTTTCGTTTTCCATTTAAGAAAAGGGATTCGACATGCTAAAGAATAATGCCTTCCGCTACTGATATTCTAGATGCAGACTACACAGTGTCATCCCATTCATGTGGATCAGAATTTTGAATGCGAAGAACTGTTCAATCCTTGAGTCTATTTGATAGGCACCATTTCTGTTGTAGCTCGAAGGTCCGGACTCCATAGAGACCAAAAGCACTGGATATAGCATTGCTTAAATCAGCAACAATTCTATTCCACAGTTTTGCTTCATGAACCTGGTGGCTTCTCTGCATTTTGTTTCGAAGCAGATCACAGAAAAATAAATTTCAGGGTAAAGGAAAGCTTTTAGGATTTTATTATAAATGGTGAGCAACAATTACCAATGGTGGAACCAGGGGTCACATTTTGTCCAGCTTTTTTAGGTGTCCTTTTTGCCATTTCAGCTGTCAAAATGCAGATGAATAGAACAGAAAGTCATCAACTCCAAAAATTAATAAAATTTAAAAAGAATAGAACAAAGAATTGGCTGCCAGTGTTATAGAGGTAGTGTAGCACAAACCAAAGATAAATAATTTCTAATTGTTACTTTTTCTTCAGTATCAATAGACAAAGGATTCTAGATATCATTCTTCAGATACTGGCTAAAATAAATTACCAGAAGCAATGCCCTATTGCATGGGAACTACACATGTATATACCACATACAAATAGCATATAGGTATCCCTTTTGAACATACTTCTACTCTTGCATAACCATAGAAAAGAAGATGCAAAAATTACATAGTGAAATAAAGGAGTGATTGCCTGGGATATCCAGAAGCTTCTCAACAATGTAAAATCGCTGATGCTGATCAAGCTAGGGTCTGAACCAACTCGAACTCATTGTGTCAAGTAAGCAGTCAAAACAACAGCCCCTGAATCTAGTTCCTATGCTTACTCCAGTTTGCTTCACCTTTCGAATCCACTCTGAGAAAGCCTTCAAAGGATTCAAGCAAAAAGGAATGATTGAATACCAAAGACAACTCTTCTACAACCTAGTCTGGTTGGCCATCAGGGATACCTAAGGTGACAAACTTTTCTGTTCTGTTCATAATCGATTCTTTTTTTTGTCACTCCTTCCTAATGAGTCGACCACTCAGATAATGTTCCACAATCTGACCCTTGAGCCAAAAGCGAATGATTGCAATAACAGGATTCTAGAAATAATATAGTCTTGAATATAACAGGAAAGCAAGAAATACGATTTAAACGGAAGAGAGCACATAATTTGTCAAAAACCAGAAAAGTTTAAGGGAGGTGCTAGGAGTTTAGCAAAGAAATTCAAGGATAAGGCATATGTAAAGCAAAATTTGAAACGTAAAACATAACTTCTCCATGGTCATTCAAATAAAATTGAAGAAATATGTAAAGCTAAACATATAGTGATCTACATAATTAGACCCAATCATACAATTCTCGAACTTCTATATCATAAACATCGAGTAAATAGGCTCTTGTATATCTTCTATATGATAATAAGCATCTAATTCACCTCAATTCACTGAAGCTACCAACCTAAGTCCACAAATATGGAAGAAAGGTTTATGCCGGCTTGGCTAGACATAGCATTCAGGTGAAGAACAAAAACTATGTGACAATTTTAACAGTGATTTTGATTTGGTAAGCAAGAAAAATTATGAAGAAAGAACATGAGTGGTAGGAGAAGGCAGAAAATCCTATTTCATATGAGAGATCCTACAACCCACCCCAACTTAGCAACTGCACCGGATTGCTTTAGCAAACTAGGTCAAACAATGTCTGCTTCTGTGTTAACTCCACCCAATCAATTTAAACTAACAAGACCAATTTACTATCCCATATTATCATATTTGTGTGCTGCTAAAAATAAATAGCAGATGCTTTTGGAATGATATAATTCTATGTGAACCATAAAATATACCAAAAAGAATATAAGTAAATAGCACCTTTGAATTTTCTTTTCTTGTTAGCCCTCCTCCTTTTCCTCTCTGCTTTTGTTAACTCAGCCTCTTCTTTGATATCACCTTTCCCTTGAAATATTTCCTCAGGAGCAAGCATGGCTGCATCCGAGACAGCCACAGGTGCAATCTGCCAAAGAGACAAATTTTCCCTCATTCAAACTCATATGAGTCTAAGCTAATTAGAACCTCGAAAAGATGTTCATAGTTTATACCTCTTCCATCGCTAAAGCAGGTACATTTACTTGTATAGACATGTCTTCAATAACCTACACAAGAGCCAGCGATAAAAAACAAAAAATAGAAATAAATACAAAAAAAGCACAAGTATGAGCTTTAAAAATTACTAACCGGTTTAGGAGCAAAATGGAAGTGAGACAATGCATCCAACTTTGAACAAAGCTTCTTAAATAGTAGACTTGCCTGCAGAAAAATCAAGTGAAGCACTTGGCATGTGTGAAAAAGAAAGATATAAATCCACGAGTTTAAACATCGTTAATGTAGTAGTGTTCAATAGATCAAGCAGAGATCAAGCCGAAGTCAATATTTGTTATTTGCGTTGTCTGAATTTTAGTTTGTTTTCTGTCACAGTCGATTGGATGCTTTGCTCAGTTTTAGGGTTGACGTGGTGCCCAAATGAGAGGCTCATCAGGGTTTTGTCCAATCCAGGAGAAAGTTCTCCAAGAAAAACCAAGATAGAAAAGGAACAGATTAAACATACTCTGGATTAATCTTATATTATGAACATAATGGTAACCAAGGTCCAAGCATGTCTTGAAGGCCCACTACCAATCATATTCATAATGGGGACGAAAAGCTAATCTGGTTTATCCATAAAATCCTACCAAAGAGACAACTAGAACTCCCAAAATACTTCTCCTAATAGTTAAACAACTTATCCAACTATAATATAATAGTATTATAACTCCTAGATACAGTATGAACCAAGGTTTTTAATTTCATACTATACCGACGTTTCGAGCTTTGCTCGATACGGTATGGTACGGGCATACCGAGT